TGATCATCTCTACTATGTTTTTCTTTTTCTATCACACTAATTTCTACTATCTCTGTTATTTCCTTTACTTTAATTACTTTCTTTGGCTTTGTTTGGTTGTTCCTTTACCAACATTTTAAGTTGAAAGCTTTGCTCTTTAATTTGCAGGCTTTCTCCTTCTTTAATATAAGTGCTGAAGGACATAAACTTTTCTCTTCGTGGCATTTTTGCTGCATCTTACAAGTTTTGATACATAATATTTTATTATGATTTAGATTTAAGTTTTAAAATTTCTGTCATGATTTCTTTTTGACACATGAATTATTTAAAAGTGTGTTTTAGAATATACAAGTAAATGGAATTTTATTTAATTTTTTAGTTATTGACTTATTTAATTTATGGCCAGAGAATGTAGTCTGTATGGTATCAATTCTTCACATTTACTGAGCCTTACTTTATGTCCTAGCATATGGTCAACTTTTGGAAAATGTGGTATGTGTTCTTCAGAAGAATATGTATTCTTTAAATGGTGTAGATTTTCATATATTTTCAAAAAACCAAGCTTGTATATTGGGCTGTTTAAATCTTATGATTTACTATCTTTTTGAGACTGTTTGATAAATTGGTAATTAAGAGAGGTGTGTTGAGACCTTCCACTGGAAAAGTAGATTTCGTAGATTTCTCTCTGTAATGCTATCAATTTTTACTTCAGATATTTTGAAGCTAATTAATTGGATGCACACATTCATTTTCAATATGTTTTTGGTGAAATAAGTCTTTTAATATTATATATCTTCTGTAGCAGACACTGTTGAGGCACTACTTATAACTCCTCAGAATTTACCTTGACACTGAAGGCTGCTTCCTATGAATACCTGCAACTGTGTTTGGACAACATATTTGGCTCACACCCAGGGCAAGCTGGAAGTGCTGGCAAGCTCCTTAGAGACCCAGAAGAAGCCCTAAACTAATGATGGATGGAGAGTTGGTGGGTCAACACCCCTGCTTCCTTGCTATTCAATTTGGATTATCCTAAAGTCTGTTTAACGCTATCTCCCAAGGGTCCCCATAGGATTGAGCTCCAGTTTCCCGGTGTTAACCGGTTTGATAGCATATCCTTTACTGGCTTCAATCTCTTTTCTAATTCACTTCCCTATTATCTTGCTGGTGTTTTCTGAAATAAATTATTTGTGCTCAACTTCAATTTGAGATCAACTTCGATTTATTCCTGATAATAAGGGTGGCCATTACGTTTGATTGGAATACTTTTTGAGAGTTAAAAGGCATACTAGTAATAATAATGCTAGGATAATAGGAGTAAGCCAGGACTGTCTCTGGCAATGAAAATGTAAGGTCTTACTAACTTACCTTACTAATTATGCTTTTTGTCCTAAAGTTCATTTGTTTTATGTTAATAGTTACCCTACCTTCCTTTTATATTTGCATGGTATATCTTTTTTCATTACTTTACTTTCAACCTTTTCAAATCTTTGTTTTGGTTGTATTTCATTTAAATAGCATATGTCTGAATTTTTTTAAATGCAATCTGACAGATCTCTGTATTTTAACTGGTGAATTTAGGCCATTCATGATTTATTCTTGTTTCTGCTGTCTAATTTTTGGCTTTCTATTGTCGCACTTTTTCTAGGTCTCTTTTTTCCTCTTTTTTTTTTTTAATGGATTGAATTTGTGTTTGTTCCCTTATTCTATTTCCTTCTTCATTGGTTTGAAACCTATACCTTCTTCTTTTTTTTTTTTTTTTTGTTTCTGCTGTCTAATTTTTGGCTTTCTATTGTCGCACTTTTTCTAGGTCTCTTTTTTCCTCTTTTTTTTTTTTAATGGATTGAATTTGTGTTTGTTCCCTTATTCTATTTCCTTCTTCATTGGTTTGAAACCTATACCTTCTTCTTTTTTTTTTTTTTTTGGACCAGTAAGGGGATCGCAACCCTTGGCATGGTGTGGTTTGCACCACGCTCAGCCAGTGAGCGCACCAGCCATCCCTATATAGGATCTGAACCTGCAGCCTCAGTGCTAGCAGCACCACACTCACCTGAGTGAGCCACGGGGCTGGCCCAAACCTATACATTCGTATTCTATTGTTTTAGTGGTTACCCTCATAATTTCCTCCTGAATACTTAATAAAATCTGAAGATAATATTGTGACCACTTCCCTCTCCCCAAAGAATTCAAGAAACTTGTAATAGTTTAATTCTGATAATTCCCCTAACTTACATCCTATTATTTTCTTGTATTTTAATTGTCAGAATTTGAAAAACACAAATAGATATTATTATTATTAGCATTTAGATTAATTAGTCTACTACCTATTTACTAATTTACTTGCTTACCATTCTTTCTTGCATTTTGAACCTGTCTTTTGAAATAATTTTTCTTCTTCCAATGTCTTTCAGTAGTTCCTTTACCATTTATGGTAAACTCTCAGGTTTGTTCATCTGATAATATCTTTATTTTATCCTCATATTTGAAAGTTTGTTTTGCTAGATACAATACTCTGTTACTAATTATTTTTTCTCATCACTTTGAAGATATTATTTCATTTTCCAATGATTCTAGTATTTTGATGTCTAAATGTAGAAGCTCCATTTCTTTCTCTCTGCTTTTAAGATTTTCTCTCCATCTTTGATGTACTCTAGTTTTACTACATTATGCAGGTGTGAATTTTTTTTATATATATCTTGTAAACCTTCCTGTAGGCGTATATTTATGTCTGTTTTGACTTATAGAAAATTTTTATTTGTTAAACTCTTAAAATATGGCCTGTCCTACATTCCCTTCTCTCCTTTGAGCTCTTGATTGAATGTGTTACACTGTTTCATTCTACATACCATATCCCTTAACCTCTCTTTTTCATATTTTTCATTTCCTTGTCTCTCTGTGCCTTATTCTGAATAATTTCTTCAGACCCATCTTCCAATTAACCCTCTCTTCAGCTGTATTTAATGCACCGCTTTACCATTTCATTCACATTTTTATTTCAATAAATTATATTTTTATTTATAAAACTTCTATTTTTGCCCCTTTCCAAATTTGGTCACTTTTGATTGTCTCTTGTTGCTTGTTCATTTTTGCAATTTTTTGTCTTTTTTTAAAGCATTCCATAATTATTTTATATCTGACAATTTCAATATTTCAAGGCTTTGGGGGTTTATATTCATTGCTTTTTCTACCTGCTGACTCTCATTCGTGGTGATTTGTTCCATACTTTGTTTAACGACCTTTTATTGTTAACTGATCTTTGGTTGGTCTTCACCTCTGAAAATTTTAAGTGCTTTTCTCCAGGGAGGATTTGCATTTTTATTTGTTGGGAGCCTGGGATGCTACCAACTGGGGGCCCTTTTCTAGATACCAACTTAATCCAGGAGTCTCAGGTTCAGTCGTCCCAACCTTGCTATTAGCCCAAATCTAGTCTTCCTTTACAGTGCTAATATAAACATTTGTCCCTGGGTAATCCCACATTTTGTGAGTGCTAAATACTCTGGGCTCACCATACTTTTTTTTTGAAGATGAGTAAGTAAGGGGGTCTTAACCCTTGACTTGGTGTTGTCAGCACCAGGCTCTCTGAAGTGAGCCAACTGGCCGTCCCTATATAGGAATCCGAACCAATGGCCTTGGTGTTATCAGCACCACACTCTCCCAAGTGAGCCACGGGCTGGCCCTCTTACCATACTTTTTAATTGTATTGTTTTTTTTCTCACCCCTTGGAAATCTTCCCCATCTCTCTAAGGTCAACAATGCAAAACAAATATAGTTTAAGCAGGACCTAGTTGTTTTGAAACAGGAGGAACTCTCAATTGAGCATCTAGTCTCAATTATCTAATCTCAGGTATTTAGCAGAAGTTCCACGTCAATAACTTTTCACCTACAGCAATCCGACTTTAACCCCCACTACACGACTGAAACTATTTATGCCAAGGTGATCAATGATCCCTTGTTGCCAAATTTAAAGTGCGCTTTTAATTCCTTTTTACAGGTGACCCCCCCACCCCCCATAGTCTTGGATGCTCCCTCTTTCTCTACCCTCTTCTTCCTTTGACTGTGTGATGCCATTATCTCCTATATTTCCTCCTATCTCACTGGCTGTGCCTTTTTAGCCCCTGTGGTGAGGTCCTCTTAACCTGTCTTCTCAGACTGATGTCCTCAGAGATCTACCTTCCACTTTCTTCACTTACCATTCTGTACATGCTTCTGAAATAATCTCATCCACAGCCATGGCTCAGTACCCTGAATTCCCCACTGTGTCTTGCACTTCCAAACTTTTATAGATGCTTCTCACTCTGCTGCTGCTTCTCACTCAACAGGTGTCCTCTCACCTTTTTAAAAAACCAGATTAACTAACTAATCTTTCTAAGACTAAACTCCGTCCTGTTCTCCTCCAAGATGCCTTTGCTGACAATCCCTAATCTGGCTTAGAATACTCTCCTACATGTTCCCAGAGCCCTGTGTAACTACCTCTGTTACTGCATTTTACATGTTGTATTGTAACAATTTGTTTATTACCTGTCTTCCTCCATGACACTGTCTTCTGGGTAGAGGCCATGACATAGTTACGCCGTATACCCAGTCTTAACGTAGGGCCTGGCCCATGATAGACAAATGTTTGTTGAATAAGTGAAAGAACAACTGAATGAATGAATCGGCGTGTGAGTGATGATACTGGAGTGGAAAATTTGGGGTTTGGAAAGAGGGTGAAAGATGGCGAAAGAAGATGAGAAGAAAAGGGAAATGACTGGTATATTTAAGCTATTTGTTCTTTGCTTAAGTAAAATAAAGTTGCCATTTCATTTCAATCAAAAGTTTATTGAGCATCCAGCATGTGCTAGGCACTCTGCTAGATGCTAGTGATACACAGATAAAGATCAAAACAAAATAAAACAAAAACAAAAAACCATTTCCTTACTTACCCCCCAATTTAAGGCAGAGTTGGCTTGAGCCTGGGAAGCCAGCCCCTCGGATTCAGCACCAGGGTATGGCATGCTGTCCTTTCACCCTGACCTTCACCCATGCATCTCAAGGCTGATCAGCAGGTACCCTTCTCAAAGTCCTGCCTCTCTCACCTGCCTGAGAAACTTTCCCCTACATGCATGATCTCATTATGGATGAGGCACCTGGGAAAGTCAGATCAGTTCTAAGGGGAGCTGCAAAGGCACACGTGCTCAAATGAGCCTGGAGAAGTACATGGGGACAGGGAGCTGAGAGGGGCATGCTGTTAGGGTGAGGGTAGAAGGGGCGAGCTAAAAATGCTGGTGCCCTTGGGAGTGGGACAAAATTTGCCCCAGTGTGGAGGTGGTGGGTGACAGGGGCCTTGGGAGTTGCTCCATGGGATAGGGGAGAGTCAGAGCTGGAGCTTAGGAGGTTGGGGAGAGGCCGAGGATGCCAGGACCCCTGGAGGCAGCAGAAAGGAGACAGAACACACAGAAGGGCCTCCTTCTCTTCCAGCTTTTTAATTGTCCCCTCTCCTCACACAGTACATTATTGCTTCTCCTACAAACTGTTCAAGAGGTGGTGGAAGGGCATGACCTGGCTACACAATGGCTCCACCTCTCCGTATTTTGATGTTAGTGTGATTAGGGATTCTGCCCTTGTTCGGTGCCCTGGGGTCCAAACATCTGGGAGCAGGGCAGGTGGGCAGCAGGAGGCCAAGAGTTGAATCATGTCCCCCTGACATGCTGGGGAGCAGTAAGCCTCCTCCTCCCCACACCGCTTCTGTGGAGATTAGAACCTTATTCTCTTACAGCTGGAAGAAACTCAACAACCTTCCCAGGGATAAGGATTGTTTGAAAGGCTTGTTTTCCAAGGAAGCCAGGGAGAAGGCTTGAGCCTGGGGGTTAAAAACAGTTCCTCACTTGACCTAGCTTTCTGGGCCAGGGCAGTGAGTGGGAATTCACTGGTGTATAGGAGTAAAGCCACCCACCTGTTTCATTCACTGGCAGAGACAGCAAGAATGCTGGGCATGGCATGCCGCTGAGCGAGGCTTTGGGAGGAGGCCAAACACCGCAGGCTTGAATCCTTTGCCCTTGCTGGGCCCAGGTCAGGGGCGAACCAATGTATTTGTGCCCCTCCCTCGCCCACTTGTAGGTGCCCAGGTACTAGGTGCCTGGGCATGGCATGCCGCTGAGCGAGGCTTTGGGAGGAGGCCAAACACCGCAGGCTTGAATCCTTTGCCCTTGCTGGGCCCAGGTCAAGGGCGAACCAATGTATTTGTGCCCCTCCCTCGCCCACTTGTAGGTGCCCAGGTACTAGGTGCCCAGAGGTGTTCCAAGGCCTTCACCGTGATTCCCCGGGTGCTCTGTACGCCCGGTAACCGGCATCTGACCTCCTCAGTTAGGTGGTTGCACGGGGTAACTGGCCTCTCTCATCTGGGCTGCCAAAAAAGTGCCCCAGTAATCAGGCGTTTGTTCGGAGGGTAGGGAGGTTGGTGGGAAAAGTAGCGCTCCCTAGGAAGGGGCACGAGATGGTCACGGGGGTTAGCTTACTGATGTTAGTTTCCATAAAACCCTTTTGGGGACTGGGCCGGAAATTTAAAAATCTATACGGTGCTAAGAGCGCGCAACTCTTATCACGGAGAACACAGCCAGTAACACGGGGGCCAACTGGGTGCTCTGTATGCCCAGTAACCGGCATCTGACCTCCTCAGTTAGGTGGTTGCTCGGGGTAACTGGCCTCTCTCATCTGGGCTTGCCAAAAAAGTGCCCCAGTAATCAGGCGTTTGTTCGGAGGGTAGGGAGGTTGGTGGGAAAAGTAGCGCTCCCTAGGAAGGGGCACGGGATGGTCACGGGGGTTAGCTTACTGATGTTAGTTTCCATAAAACCCTTTTGGGGACTGGGCCGGAAATTTAAAAATCTATACGGTTCTAGAGCGCGCAACTCTTATCACGGAGAACACAGCCAGGGCAGGGTTCTCCTCGGGCTCCGGGGAGTCCTGCAAGGATACGCCCCACTGGGGTCAGCGGCCAGCTGGCTCAGCCTGGGAGAGCGCCTGCTGCTGAGGGGCGCCGGGAGTACCGGGGCGAAGGCACTCCACACCTCCACCTCCCGGAAGACGGCAGACATGGGCCTGGTTTTTCTTGCAATACACCTCACTTAGCATGGTGCTCGACGCATAATAGGTGCCCAGTAAATGTTGAAATGCGTTCACTTGAGTGCCTTGTCCCTTTATTCGCCTCTTCCCACCCGTCTTGGACAGCCTGGGACAGAGTTAGTTGCAGAAAATGGAAATCACCAGAATTGGCGTCCGAAACCCTAGGTTTGAAACCTGCATCTGGGAAAGTCATTTCGTTTCTCTCTCAGACTTTTATTTCTAACCTCTAAAATGGGGATGACACAAATATTTCACAGAATTATTCTGAACACTTTATAGGGGTATCAACATGGTATGGTCCCCCAGCCTCAGGCACATGGTAGGGCTCACCGCATGTCTGTGGGCCCCCAGCCCAGGGCTGCTCACCTTGTCCTTCAGGACGTACAGTGCCATAGGGTTCTTCCGCTCCTGCTCTCCACTTCTTGGGAGGGTGTCTGCTGCACAGGAGAAGGAATGGGGTGGCTGGCCCAAGTACAGACCCTCTCCCCCAGCCAACACCTACGGTCTTTGCTCCGCAAGTGTCCAGTCAAGGTCCCAACACAACCTCTACCAAGGTATCTGAATACTGGGGGTCCTACCTTGGCTGCACTTCTCCCTGCTCTGCGGTCTTCGTGCAGTTGGCGGAGGAAGGGGCCCTGCAGAGCTGGCTTCCTTGTGGCCCAGTTCTGCCTTTTCCCAGCAGCCCACTGATCTGAGTGGCGATAGGGTGGGTGAGTGGGTGGCTGGGAGCTCACCTTCTGCTTTCAGGTGGTCATCATTCTGATCCATGTATTCCAGGGAGTTCTGCTTCTCCAGCTTCCTCTTCTTCCTGTGAATCAATCCAGTCCCCCGTCCGCCTCATGAACAGAGCTACTGAATATGAGTAGGAGAAGATTGGTGGGGTGGGGGGTGAGGGAGCACAGGGATGGCCGTAAAAAAGACCTGTGACAGGAAGATGGGCTGGGTGGGGTGGGAGTGAGAGTTAGTCTATGAGCTTTGGAATGAGTCACTTCTAGGTTTGCATTCTAAGTCTGTCACTAGCATTGTGACTGTGGGCAAGTCATTTAACCAGTCTGAGTTTCAGTGTCATTTCTGCAAATTGCAGATAATCATACTTAAAAGGTAACATGCTAACCACTACTTCAGTGCCTGGCCCAGAAAAGGTACTCAGCAGTTAAACCATTGTTAATAATGCTGGGGCTGTCAGGGGTTGTGAGCACAGAATGTGGTTCCCTGCAACACAAAGATGGATCTCCTGGGAAGAGGCACAGAGCCCTGGGAGGGAAGGCATTTAAAGAGACTTAAGAAAAGAATAGAGCTGGAGGTTGGGATGGATTGAAGGATTAGGGTGCTCAGGGTGTGGAACTTGGAGAGTTACCCAGGCTTTTTGGAGGGTTTCCAGCAAGCACAAACTGTCACCAAGGTCACAAGGAGGAAGATGCCTCCTGTAGACAAGATGATGTAGAGGGAGCTTCTTTCTAGGGAGAAAGAGAAGCAAAGAGATGGGAGGGACTTCAGAAGGGACAACAAGTGTGGTGAGCAGAGCTTCCTGCAGCCCCGGACAGCAAGACTGGCTGATGGCGGAGCTCACACAGAGCCCACTTCCCACCTGTTGCTGTTCTCCATGGAGAGTTTGCCCATCTCTGTCCTTCTCTCTCCCTCCAGTGACATGCTCTCTGGGATGACCTAGTCCCCAGTGGGCTCCTGCCTCTCAGGGTTTTGAGTCCTAAAGGAGGGCAGACAGGAAGACTCACTGTACACGGTAATCTTGACGGGCAGGCTGCGGCCCTGGCTGATGGGGTTCTCCACCACGCAGCTGTACAAATCGTCGTCCTCCATGAGCACGCGGGTGATGGTGAGCACCTTTTGGTCAGGGGACAGGAGCATTCGCGAGTCGTTGAGGAGGGGCTTTCCATCCTTCAGCCAGGTGTAGCTGGGCTTGGTGCCATTCTCGTGTGAGCAGTTCAGGGTGAAGGCCTCGCTCAGCTCCAGCACAGTGGTGGAAGCCACTAACACCTGCGGCCTAGAGATGGGCACTGAGCCCCAGGGGTGGGAAAGCCTGTGAGTCAGGGGCTAAAAAGCTCTCCCTTCCCCTCCTTAACTCCCTATCTTCCAACACAGCACAACTCAATCTGTGGTCTGAGAAGACCTTTCAGGGATCCTCAGTCCAGTTCTTTCCCATCATTCATTCATTCATTCATTCATTCATTCACCAACTATTTACTGAGTATCTACTAGGCACAGGGAGTACAATGCTTAACAAGACAGCCGTGGTGTCTGTCCTCATTCCCTTCTTCACAAATACTTTTTCAAAATCACTGGGCTTTAATGTCTTAAACTGACTCAGACTGGAAGATATTTTAGTTGGGCTAAGCCTAGGTCCAACTGCCTGGGTTCAAATCTTTGCTATATCACTTATTAGCTGTGTGACTGTGGGCAAGTTACAGAGAGGTTGACTCCCAGTGCCTCACTTTTCTCATCTGCAAAGTGGGGATAATGATATTAACTATCCCTAGATTATTGTAGGCATCAATGAATCTACACCTGCGAAGCTCTTAGAGCAGTTTCACAGTGAGCACTCTGGACATGTTAGCTCCGCCTATCTTCCAACTTCTAATGTCATACTGGCTCACTCTCTGCTCCCAAGTGCCTTTTGTGTTGGTCTTCCCAGGTCTAGCTAGTGTGCTGAGGACACTCTGCCCCAGTCGCAGTTGTCAGTCCTGCTTCCTTCTCTGCCAGAGTGCTTTACCATCTACAGTGAGGTTGATGGTCTTCTCCCCAGTGAAAGTGTCATCGGTGATGGAGATCTCGACCTCATAGGTCCCCTCATCAGCCAGCTGCAGGTCGCTGAGAAGCAGGGAGCCATTCTCAAAGAGCCGTATACGGTCTCGATAGTCAGGTCTCAGGGTGCCAATGACCTCTGTGCCAATGGACTGCACCACAGTCACCGGCTTGTCCCGCTTCAGCTGCCACTTCACCACAGGCTTGTCGCTGCTGGTGCTGCTGTACTGCACAGAAAGCAGTGCCGACTTCCCCACGGTGCCGTGGATCAGGCGCACTGGACTGGTGATGTTCACCCCTTCCAGGGGGTCTGCAAACAGAGGCCCATGGGGAGGAGGGCAGCATCAGGCCCTCGGCTCCTTAGCCCACTCCCACCTCCAATCCCTCTGATCTCCCAGTGCCTCACCCCTCTGGGCCCTTCCCTCCCTGTCAGTCCTTGCTTCTTGCCTGTCAGTGCCACCTCCTCCCCCATGGTAGCCCTCTGACCCTTTGCTCCTCTGTCCTCCCTCACAGCCACCTGTGGCCCTCAGTCCTTCTTCCATCTGGCCCTCTGTCTCTTTGGCACTTTTTCCTATTGCCTCCCTCTTGTGGAAGATTCCAGTTAACCCACACCCTATGTGCTCCATTCATATAAATATTTATTAAGCACCTCTTACGTGTTAGGCACATTTTTATGTCCTCGGGATATATCAATGAGCAACGCAGACAGAAATTCCTACTCCCTTAAGTCAGGCCCGAGGGTGACCTTATCAGACCTTGATTGGGCATTGGGAGGGAGGAGAGATGGAGAAGGCATGGGCACATAGATTCACAAAGCAAGGAGTGTGTCATAAGACAGTGCCAATAAAGGAGATGCTTAGGGGCCTGAAGAAAACTTGGCCACTTTTCAGTCAGCTGTACAAATAAGGATAATAACAATTATAATAGCAGCAACTGTTATGCGTATCGGTTACTGTTGTGTAGTGGAGAGAACACAAGACTGAGCATCAGAGATTTGGGCCCTATGCTGGCTCTATGACCTAGGAGATGTCACTTATCTGTTTGGAGCTCAGATTCCCTGAAGTTAAAATGAATAATTGGCTAGACGGTCTCATTGGTTTGTTCCAGCCCTGTAATTCTAGGATTTTACAATCCTGCCCGATGGATGCCCTATCCTGAGACACATCTCACATTTCAGAGACCTCTTTGGAGCTTTGGGGCCTAAACAGATGCTGTCTACGGGTGTCGCCTGGCCTTGTAGAGCATTCCAACCACTGAAGGAGGGTCTTCTGGAGAGGATGCCAGTTGGGAACAGGGCTGAGTTTAGCTGAATGGACACATGCATTCCAGGTTCTCAGTTCTCTGCACACCCCATCCTTTGGCTGTCATTGCATCTAAAGTTCCCTCTTTCTATCTCACCCTTATTTCCACTCTGCTACTGTGGCAGTTTAGAGTTGGGGAAGCTGAGCTGTACCTTTTCATTCCTGATTCCTCTCCTTGTGCCTAGAGGGCCCAGACCAAACCAAGAGGAAATTAAACTAAAATATTGGTTGTGATTTTATTTACTAAACATATTAGATCTATTTTTGGAATAAGTGCTTTGTTAAGTGGTGAGCTCCTCATCTTTGGAAGTGGTCAAGAAGAGGCTAAGTGACTTCTTTCACCTTTCTGGGACTCAGCTTCCTGCTCTGTGTAATGAACCAGATGATCTCTAAGAGTCTTCCCAACTCTGACATTCTATGATCCATTACCTGCAATGTATGTTAGAATCATAAAACCTTAATAGTGGGGCCGGCCCGGTGGTGCACTGCTATAGTGCACTGCTTGGGAAGCGCGGCGGCGCTCCCGCCAAGGGTTTGGATCCCACATACAGACCGGTTCCCGCTCACTGGCTGAGCGAGGCGCGGGAGCAACACCGAGGGTTGCGATCCCGTTGCTGGTCCCAGTCCGGTACGGGGGTGACAGGGTTGCGATCCGTTGCCGGACACGGAAAAAGACAAAAAGGAAAAAAAAATAAAAAATAAAAAATAAAACCTTAATAGTGGAAGAGACTAGCCTAACGATTAAAGCAGGCAGAGGTATGAATATCTGAATATTGTATGCTTGTTATTGAGGGGAAGTCTTAATTTGAGGAAGGTAGAACATCAAATGAGATGGACAAAATCTACTACTCAACTATTTTGAAGCAATTTTTATTAAAAGGTATTTTTGTTCCCCCAAAATATTACATAAAAATGGAAACAAAATGAAATATGGTTCCAGCTCACCCCCTTTAGTAGAAGAGGTGGTGGGAACCAGAGTCCCATCCTACTCAATAACTTGGGGATCTACTAGGAATCACTACAGCTCTATGTATCAGACTGAGATCCATTTGGCCACATGATCCTTATGGTTTCTTCCAACTCTTAGTTTCTGTGATTATTTAGATGGGATTTCCTGCCTAGCAACTGCTAGGTCTCAGGCTTGGCTTGATGAGTAACAAATAGGCTTTGGTATGTATGACTTGAAGTGGCCCTGAAAAAAATCATTTAAGTGCTTCATTAAAAGACACGGTGGCCTGACATCCACAACCAGCCCAGCGATGACCATCAAGCCACCACTGGAAACCCCCTGGTCTCTCCTGCTGGAATGAGGGGAGTGCCATGAGCCTTGACCATGCCCCCCGTTCTTCC